GAGGCTGGTCGCCTCTCAGCTTTTCCTGCCCACAGGGTGGGCGTGCTTGAACTGAATGCAGAATGTCGTTAAAGTGTATGTTAAACAAGTGGATACCTTATAATATTCCAGGGCTTAGTTTTTCTCCTTTTCCTCTCTTATTGATACAGAAGTACTCCTTTTCCAGAGTAACCTCTCTCTGGGACAGGGCTATAAATTTTTAGAGGGGAGGTCATAGTTTAGAGTTCCTGGTTGCATTTATACAAGAAGTGGCCTTCATCGATATCAGCAGGCTTTTAGTGATGGGATAGGAAGGACCGAAACATGAAGTGCCTTGCATCGCAAGTTATTTATACTATGTATATTTTTCATAAATTGTGCATTTTGGCAAACTTGAACATTATGATTCTTGTATTATTGGCGTCAAGTTTGGTTGTCACGGCTCCTTGCAGAACCTCATACAAAAACTTATTCTGACTAGCCCTGATCTATCTTAATTTACCTTTTTAATTTTTTTCTCAATGTAGGGTCATCTTTAGAACAGTACGATAGAAATGTCTCTTAATTAAATGATCTTACAAAGAGACCCCTGGGTTACATGCAAGGAAAAGCAGTCTATCCCACTAATTATGCAGTCAGAAGTGAAAAACCCATGTGTATAAGAGAAGAATTTGACGTCCAGAGATGTGGAAGGCATGGCAAGTACCATTTGTTTTGTTAGGAGAAATAAGATGTTGGTCTCTCTCAGGTTGAAAAGGTTAGGAGTAAAGATATATATAGCTAGAGTGTAATGATAAAATTACAGTTTGAAATAAAAAAACCATCTCTGGCAAACATGATCAAAAACTACGAGCTTTCGACTGCCCGAACTGCAGTCTTCGACGGGTAAAATGAATTATAAGCAAGCGATGAGAGAATTAAAATAAAGACATGAACTGCGAAATAATGAGAGTGTAAATTATTGTATGAATATTTGTCAAAAAGAATTTTTATCTGCGTTAGGTGTCATTCTGGTATGCCACGCTTCTAAAGTTTTCTTGGTTCTAAATATGCCTTTGTCAATAATTGACGCGTTTTCAAAATCAGTGGCGTGGTTGTTGGACTAGGCGTAATTAGCAATTCTTGAACTTTCGGCCGCAGTTTTGATATTTCTCAAATGTTATTTTTTCAGGATTTAAAAGCCCTACTGGTTTCCCCAATATAACAAAACGAACAATTTGCACAAGGAATTTTATACACGACGTTGGTCAGCGATTCCATCGAAGGTCCGAATTTCGGAGCTGGGAACTGTTGTTTTAGAGTGGTAAATGGTTTCTTTACAACTTGACATCATGTTTTTTGAGGGTACGTGTCAAAGGTTCAATTACTCCTTTGATGTAAGGAAGAGAAGGGAGAGACTTGTGTGACTCGGTTGCTTCAATCATCACGCAAAACACTCCAAGAAGTTCCTCTGGGGATACATTTGTTGTTAAGGATCGAGTTTTTCTATCCTGTATGTTTTTGATAAACTTAAATGGATAGCCGTTGGACTCCAAAGCTACATGGACACAATTAGGTTCATGCTTTTTTCCTTCGGAGGAATTGGGTAGATTTAGAGCCCTGTGCAGTGGGGTGGTGCAGGAGAGTTGATGCTGTGCTGACATTGTGTTGACTATCGTGATGGGAATTAAAATCTAAATATCTGTCTGTATGAATGGCCTTTCTGTAACCATCAACAACGATGACTTCATTTCTCCGGAAGACCAGAGTGTCGAGAAAGGAGATCTTTCCGTTACATTCGGTCTCGATGGTAAACGGGATGTTTGTGTCAATTGAATTTAAACTATCATGGAAGGCTGAAACATCGTTCTTTCTCATCATGCAAAAACTATCGTCCACGTACCTTTTCCGAATCTTGGCGGAAACGGATGAATTATTGATTGCGGACTCTTCGATCTCCTCCTTGCAAAGATTGGCCACAAAGGGGCGGAGAGGACTGCCCATCGCACAGCCATGGACTTGTTTGCAAATTCTGTCATTAAATACAAAATAGTTGTTAGACAAGGTGAATTGTAGAAGTGTAGTGATATCATCAAAGTCAAAATTTGTCTTTGAAGAAAGAGTGGCATCTTGTCAATTTTTTTTTTATGTACATACATGCTTTACCTACAGGGATTGCGGTGAACAGTGAAAACATCAAAAGAGACCAAAACTTCATTATCATATATCTCTATATCAGATAATTCTTTGTAAAACTGCAAAGATTCGGTAACAGAGTATCTGTTACGATTCTGAGGCGGAGAAAGGATATCCATCAGAAATTTGGACGTGTGGTGGAGCGCTAAGCCAGTACAGGTGACGATGGGCCTCAGCGGGTCCCCTTCTTTATCGTGCTTAACAGAACCGCGAATCGCTGGTGGAGTGCCGTCAGTTTAGTGAATTTTGCGGAATGTTGTCTCATCTATCTTTAGCTGTCTCTTTAGGGAAATAAGCAGAGCGTTCAGTTCACGTTCAATTCGGGGGAAAGGAGATGTGGGAACGACTTCATAGGTGGATCTGTCGTTGAGTAAGGTTTCCATCTTGCTGTCATAGTCAGATCTATCCATGACAACAAAACGGTTCCCCTTTTCGGCCTTCATTACGACCCTAGACTGGTCTTTCTTAAGGTTGTTTAAAGCTTTTCTTTCTTCTTTGGAAACATTATTGTGTGCTGGTAGTCGTCCCCTATGAAGAATGGCAGCAGAACTTGTTCTAACTGTATCTTTGGAATCATCAGGCAGGTGGCAGATGGCAGCTTCANCGAAAAAAAGCAGTTCAATGTTCAAAGATCCATCCGAACTGGGGGTTTCCGCACTCTGGAAGGGTATCGTCTAACAGGAACATGTTCAATCTGGCTCGGTGAGCTGCTGACGGACGAATCAGCCACTGGATTGCATTTTGGTGACTGGCAGTCTGTCTCCCTCGAGACAACTTCTGTCTGTTTAGGTGGTTCAGCTGCTGGGTGATCAGTGGTCGTGGCTGGGAGTGGAAAAGACAAGGGATATGAAACTTGCAGGTGTCTGTCTGCAACAGGAACATTGGAATCTCGGAGTTCATCCGTGTGTCGGTGCCAAACTAGGTCAAGCCCAATCTCCACTTTATAAAACAAGGGTCCCAATCATGCACGGACAATACCGGGTACCCACTTTGACTTTCCAGTGTGATTTCGTACTGTCACCCTCTGACCAATGCAAAAATGCCTTGTCACAGAACCACTCTTGGCAACAGACTGGTCTATCTGACGGTTGTTTATTTGTATGAAGGGATCTGGTTTTAACAAGTCCAGCCGAGTGCGTAATCTTCTACCCAAAAACAACTGGGACGGTGGCTCTCCGGTTGTTGAGTAGGGGGTGTTTCTATAAGTTAGCAAAAATCTCGCCAACTGAATGTTCAAAGATGTCACTTCAGTTTCACTCTTCATGGCACTCTTGAAACTCTGGACAGCACGTTCTGCTAGGCCGTTGGTGGCAGGATGATAAGGTGCTGAGGTGATGTGTTTGATGCCGTTTCTCCTAAGGAGTTGCTGGAACTCTTCTGATGTGGACTGAGGCCCATTATCGCTCTCTAACTGGGCTGGTACGCCATATCTTGCAAACAACTTCTAAAGGGTTTCAATTGTTTTCGCTGAGGTTGTAATGTTCATTTTCTCTATCTGTAGCCAACGTGAATGTGCATCCACTACCACTAAAAACATACGGTTAAGGAAGGGACCTGCAAAATCGATATGAATTCGTTGCCAGGGCAACGAAGGCCATTCCCATGGGTGCACTGGCACTGTACTGGGCTCCCTCTGTACTAGTTGGCAACCTGGGCAGGACTTAGCAGACAGTTCAATTCCTTTATCAATTCCAAGCCACCAGCTGTAGCTTCGGGCCAGGGCCTTCATGTTCACGACTCCCATATGTCCCTGATGAATTCCCTTGAGAACTTGAGGGCGTAGTTTTGGGGGTAGTATTACTCTTATTCCCCACATCAAACAGCCTGATTGTAACGTGATCTCATCTTCGTGAACAGAATAGGAGTTGAATACAGGGTCATGGTTGTTTGGCCACCCCTTCCTGGTCATTTCATGCACTTGGGCCAAGACAGGACCTCTTTGTGTCTCTAGTCTAACGTTGTCCACTGTGACTGGCAAAGGGTCAAACTGCATCAAATAAATACACCCACTAGGTCAACCTCTTCTTTCTCTTTGGCTTCCGTTACCAGTGGTAGGCGGGAAAGACCATCAGCATTGCTGTGAACCTTAGTGTTCTTGTATTGAATGGAGTAGTCATAGCCCGCCAGGAACAAGGCATAATGTTGAAGACGTGCTACGGTGACCACGGGAATGCTCTTCCGCGGAGGAAAGATTGAAGTTAATGGCCGATGATCTGTGTATAGAGTGAAAGGACGGCCAAACAGATACATGTGAAACTTCTTAACACCCCAGATTATTGACAAAGCTTCCTTGTCGATCTGCGCATACTTTTGCTCAGTTTTTGTCAGTGTCCTTGAACCAAAAGCAATAAGTCGCTCGGTACCATCGTTAATCACGCGAGAAAGCACTGTTCCAATGCCTACGGGGATGCATCACAAGCAAGTCTAAGTGGCAGACTGGGATCGTGATATGTTAGAACTTACTCTGAAATGATCATTTCTTTCACCTTGTGGAATGCTGCCTCGCATTGCTCTGTCCACTTCCACTGGTGGTCCTTTCCCAAGACTTAAGTCAAGGAGTGGACGGTTGTCGACAGGTTAGGTAAGCGCCTGTGGTAGTAGTTGACTAGCCCGAGAAATGATCTTACCTCAGCTACGTCGTTTGGGGCGTGGTGCTTCCAAAACCGCTTCTACTTTTGCTGTTCACCTGTGAAGGCCATTCTTGTCAATATCATGTCCACAATAAGTTATTATCTCCTTGAAAAACTCACATTTGGCCTTGTTAGCTCTCAGACCATGAAACTGTAGCCGTCGTAGGACTTCTTGTAAGTTAGCCAGGTGTTCTTCATCACTGTTACCAGTGATAATCATGTCATCAGGTATACAGCTTGTGCCAGATGTCCCTTCCAGCACTTGATCAATGGTGCGTTGCCAGATAGCGGGTGCTGAAGTGATGCCGAACACAAGTCTATTGTACTGGAACAACCCCATGTGTGTGTGTTGATGGTGAGGTATTTTCTGGAATCTTCTTCCATCTCTAGTTGGTGGTATGCCTGGCGAAGATCAATCTTTGAGAATTTCTGTCCACCAGCAAGCTTTGCAAAGATATCTTCGATGCGGGGTAAGGGATATTGTTCAGCCTGTAGTTCTGGGTTTACCGTGCCCTTGTAATCACCACAAAGCCTGACCGATCCATCTTTCTTGGGGACGGGTACAATGGGTGTTGCCCACTCGCTCCACTCAACTTTCGTGAGAATTCCTTCATTCTGAAGTCTTCTTAGCTCTTCTTCAACTTTAGGCCTTAAGGCATAGGGCACAGCACGAGCTTTGCAGAAATGGGCTTGGCTATCTTCTTTAAGGGTTAGCTTTGCTTTAGCTGATTTGAACGTTCCAAGTTTGTCTTCAAAAACATCAGAGTATTTGTCTAGCATGGTTTGCAGCTGCTCCTTAGTAGTTGATAGGGTTTGTGAAGCTTTCAATGACTTAATAGCATACCAATCTAGGCGTACCTTGTGAAGCCAATCCCTTCCCATCAACACAGGGCCCTTGTTCTTAACCACATACAGATCCAACAGCAATGGTTGCTGGTCTTTGTACTCAACATTTACCTT